CCAGACTGGTTTGGGTTGGAAGGGACCTTCAAGATCATCCAGATCCAACCCCCTGCATGGGCAGGGACACCTCCCACCAGCCCAGGTTGCTCCAAGCCCCATCCAACCTGCCCTTCAACACTGCCAGGGATGGGGCAGCCACAGCTTCCCTGGGCAACCTGGGCCAGGCTCTCCCCACTGCTCACATCTACCTCCCCCTGCAGGAATTCATCAAGGAGCTGAGGCTGAGCTCCCCCTTCCTCCCCCTGGGTGTGCAGAGCCCCAGAGGATGCTCAGCCTGGCTCTGGGAGCCCCCAAACCATCAGAGCTTTGCTTCAGGAGAGCTCCTGCTCAGCAACCATCAGCTTCCCCCCCCCCCCCCAAGTCATGAAGTAATTTGAGGGAAAACAGGGTATTCAGCTGCCACATCCCCAGCTGGGGCCTCAGCAGGTTTGAGCCCCAGGCTGGAGGCACCCAGAGGGACTTCAACCCACTGAGAGCTCCTCCTGAGCCACATGGAACCTCTTCTCCTGGGAAAGCTGCTCTCTGAGGCACCAAGGGGAGCCAGGGCACTAATGGGACAGACATCCCTGCTCAAGGGCTGGTTCCTCTTGGACGTGCTGTCTCCTACCATCTGAGAACTGGCTCTGATGTTTCCCCTCCAAGAGGGGGAGATCCTGGCCCCAAGGCTTCCACTTCTGCCTTGGGCTCCTGGAGCCACTGGAGGAAACTCATCTGCATAATTGCTCTCATTACTGCCAGCTAGAAAAGCATCTCTCAGCAGGCAGTGGTGTCAGCCAGGCAGCAGCTCAGTGGGGCTTGGCTAATTCCTGAAGCTTCCTCTGCTGCCAACCTGATCCCAAGGGATTGTGGCAACTGTCCAGAGGGATTTCAGCCCCACACAGCAGAGCTCCTGGGTCAGGTGCACCTTGTGGCACCCACAGACAAGCACAGGATCTGGTCCTGCACCTCCAAGACCCACCCATCACACCACCCTAGGTACTTGTTGGAGACAGGGGTGTGATGGGAGGCAGGATTTAGGGAACTCTGAGCAGAGAAATGATCCTTCTTTCCACAATTCCCAACCTTTCCAGCACCTCCTGTCTCTGGTAGCCTCCTTGCATGGCATGGAGCATCTGCTGCTGGAGATCCTGAGGGTTTCTGGGTGCTGTGGGACTGCTGAGCTGGTTTTGCAGCTCCAGCCCAGCTCTGGGAAGCCAACAGCTCTTGGGGCAACTGCTTTGGGCATCTCCCTTCAGCACTGCCTGGGAGGGAAAGGTTATCCAAGCTCTCTGAGTACTGGCTTGGTTGAAACCAGACTTAACTTCATCAACTTCTTCATTCACATCTTCATGGGATGGGCTGAAGGTCACCTGGGATGGGACAAGTCTCCAACCAGACCCTCAGAGGTCCTGAGGGCAGAACCCTTTCCAAACCACCAGAGGTGCTCAGCATCCAGGCTTCAGAAAGTACCACCACCTGATGATGAACAGGGATGGTGAGTAGCCCAGAACATCTCAAATCACCTTCATTGCAGGATGGGCTGGGATTTATCCCACACCCAGACACAGGGACATGGGGGAAAAGGAGTCTGGACATGTAGAACACTGAAGGTTAAGGTTTCATGAGAAATTAGGATGCTGTTGGCAGCAAAAACATGCTCTTCACACTCACCTGTAGCAACAGGACCACCATCCCTGTGGGATCTGCTCCAGGTGACCCTGCTCCAGCAGGGGGGTTGGACCAGGTGATCTCCAGAAGCTCCTTCCAACCCCCACCACTCTGATCACACACAGAGTCTCTCCAGGGGTCAGGACCTTCCCTCCTCCCCCAGACAACCTCATGGATCCCCAGTTTGGATCACAGGGAGGAGAAAACTGGCTTCTACCCATTTCAGGGCTCCACGTTTCCTCAAGCAATGACCCAACTCCAGCAAGAAACCAAGCCCTGCAACACCCCCCTGATCCTCTGGAAGTCTCCCAGCTTCAATCCATTGGGAAGTGCTGCTGCAAAAAGCAACAGGGACAACACAGCCAAGCAAGGAACACTCCTCCCAACCCCCAGAGCTGCTTCTGGTGGGTGACAAAGAGTCTGGGGGGCTGGGAGAGGAACCCAGCTGCTCTTTGGGTGTGAATCACAGGGAACAGGACCCCATAAAGGGACACCTCAGCCAGGGGTGGCCACACCAGGGTGGAAATGCTGCCTCCTGCCCTGCACCTTCAAGCAGCTGGTTTGAAGACTTGAGCAATTCATCTCAGCAGCCTTTTAGCTCTTTGTCTGCTTCAAAGCCAGGGAGATAATCCCTGAATTATTCCCTTAGCTCAGCCTCTCTCAATCTGTGGTTTATTTCTAAAGACCTGCAGGGTTGTTGTTGCTGGGAGGTCACCCAGCTCAGAGCCAGGAGCCAGTCTGCTCCTGGTGGATCTACCCATGCCAATGGCTCTTGGGAAGATTGACCATGGAGGAACCAGCTGCTTCAGGTTTTCCAAGCAAGCCAGGAAAACCCTGGCCCTGACTCTTCAGGTAGTCTGTGCAACCACAGAATGGTTCTGGTGGGAAAAGACCTTTGGGTTCAACCATCACCTGACTTTACCAGCCATTAACCCACCTCTACCAAGTCCAGAGCTTAACCCATGTCCCTCAGGGCTTTGAAACCCCTCCAGGGATGGAGACTCAACCACCTCCCTGGGCAGCCTGGGCCAGGGTTTAATGACCCTTTGAGGGAAGAACCTTCTTCTAACATCTAAGCACATGGTTTAAACCCCACAGAACTTCCTCTCTGGTGTCATCAGCTCTGATTTACCCCAGAGAAAGCCCAAGCCCTCTGCACCTTATCCTAGATGTTCTCCATGTGCCTGGAAATGGGGCACTTGGTGCTTCTCTCTGCAATGTCAGCAGCTTTCAAGCCAGTGTCCTCCAAACCCAGGAGCTTCTCAGAGCCAACATGAACCACTCTCAGCAAGCAATTCACTCCCATGAAACAAAGCTGGGAAAACCCACCAGGCTCCAAAGAGCATTTGGGAGATGGGTGAATATTTTGACAACTCACACAAGCTCATGACCATTCAAATGCTCCTGGTTGGGCCAGAGCATCCCAGGAGCACCTAAGTTAGGACCTGGTGCTTCCCAGGACCTAAGTTCAGGAGGAAGGACTAAAGAGAATCCTTGCCCCAAGGAATTCATCCAACTGAGGACATGGCTCCTTCAGCACCACAAGAACCAAGGTTGGCAGAAGCATTTGAACATCACACCCTTTTCTGGAGCTTTTCCCCCCACTTCCAAGTGACTTCTGAAGTTGGGACCATTTCTCTGGCCTGCTCTTAGTTGATCATTCCTTGGCAAGAGCTTCAGCCCTATCTTGGAAGGCAGGAAGCACCTCCTGCCAAATCCCAAGAGCCCCCAAGTCCTGGCTGCTTTAGGCCAGGTGTTGAGTGGGGGATGTAGAGGACAACATGGACAAAGGGTCTGTGGTCAGAGAAGGGAGAAGCAGAGTGGGGACAGGGGTGAGAGACCTGAACACTCCATGAACACAACCCCATGCACACTGCAATGGAGAGCTGAGGTTCTTTCTCCCCCCAGCAACAGAGAATTCCAACCACCTCATTCCTTGCACTTGAACAACCCCCAAAACACCCACCAGTTTTTCACTTGGAATCCTTTTGATTGGCAAAGACCTTCAAGATCCTGGAGACCAACCATTCACCCAGCCCAGCCAAGGCCACCACCACCAACCCATGTCCCTCAGCACCACACCTTGACTTTCAGGCAGAGGTGGGACAGAGGAGAGTGAGGCCAGATACCTGTTAGGGGGTGCTGGGTGGAGGACACCATGGGATGGAGGACACCATGGGATGGAGGACACCATGGGATGGAGGACACCATGGGATGGAGGACACCATGGGATGGAGGACACCATGGGATGGAGGACACCATGGGATGGAGGACACCATGGGATGGAGGACACCATGGGATGGAGGACACCATGGGATGGAGGACACCATGGGATGGAGGACACCATGGGATGGAGGACACCATGGGATGGAGGACACCATGGGATGGAGGACACCATGGGATGGAGGACACCATGGGATGGAGGACACCATGGGATGGAGGACACCATGGGATGGAGGACACCATGGGATGGAGGACACCATGGGATGGAGGACACCATGGGATGGAGGACACCATGGGATGGAGGACACCATGGGATGGAGGACACCATGGGATGGAGGACACCATGGGATGGAGGACACCATGGGATGGAGGACACCATGGGATGGAGGACACCATGGGATGGAGGACACCATGGGATGGAGGACACCATGGGATGGAGGACACCATGGGATGGAGGACACCATGGGATGGAGGACACCATGGGATGGAGGACACCATGGGATGGAAGACACCATGGCATGGAGGACACCACGGCATGGAGGACACCATGGCATGGAGGGCACCATGGGATGGAGGGCACCATGGGATGGGGACACCATGGGATGGGGGACACCATGGGATGGAGGACACCATGGAATGGGGATACCATGGGGATGGGGACACCATGGGATGGGGACACCATGGGATGGGGACACCATGGGATGGAGAACACCATGGGATGGGGGCACCATAGGATGGAGGGCACCATGGGATGGAGAACACCATGGGATGGAGAACACCATGGGATGGGGACACCATGGGATGGGGGACACCATGGGATGGGGGACACCATGGGATGGGGGACACCATGGGATGGGGGACACCATGGGATGGAGGACATCATGGGATGGAGGGCACCAAGGGATGGAAAACACCATGGGATGGAGGGCACCATGGGATGGAGCAGCACACAGTGACCCAGGGCAGAGAACAAGGACAGATTCAGCCTTTGCCCCTTCCCTGCTTCATTCTGAGCACTGGAACACACAGAGGTTTTGAAAGCCAAGGTTCAGAAGTGGTTTGCAGAGCAAATGGGACATGATCCTGCTTTGAAAGGGCTCTGTTTTAAAGGGCAGCCCAGCACTTACCTGTGTCATAGTGAACCACCAGGGATGTGGAATGATGTCCAGTCTTGAGGGGGTGAAACTCCACTGTCACTTGCATGGTGTCCCCAGTCCCAAGAGTCCCCACGGAGGGATCCACAGAGAAGGGGCTGCAACAGAGAGAGACCCATCAGGACTCTGCTGGGAGCTGTGGGGACTCTGCTCCCTTTGCACTCTGCCAGCAAGGAGCACCCCAACCACAGGCAGCACCAGGAAACCAGCACACCCAGGATCAGAACCAGAGCTACTGCCTCACTTCTGGAGAGGTCCAGCCCTCAGAAGATCCTACAGGATCAAGGGACCTCATGGTCCTCCTTGGCTTCCTCAGGAATCTCCTCCTCCTGCCACCTACAAACCTCAGCTCAGGAGATGCCAATGTCAACACAATCTCTGTCCCAGTGAGATTACAACCTAAGCATCAGACAGGGAGAATAAAAGCCCTCCTGGAAGAGCAGAGAATAATGATGCAGGGCTCTTTTTTACCTTGGGAACATCTGTAGCCCAAGAAAGGGCCCATTTTACCCCCATGTCAGGGAGAGCTGCTCTAAGAAAATGAACAAGCAGGGAAAACAGAAAGAAGCCTGAGTGTAAATGCAGGTGAGAGCAACACCCTGACATGGCAACAAGCCACAAGAAGAGTAGCCCATTGCCAGCCATGAAACCCCTCATGAAATGAAGCCCCATGAGCAGGAGCACAAGGACATGAGTTGAACAGGAGGTTTGCAACACAACCTGGGAGTCTGGCTGGTGATCCAAGCTCAGGAGCTGTTTGCTTGGCCCAGCAAGCCAAATTCTGGGCAGTGGGTTGGAAATCATGATGCAAATGTGTTGGTGGCCTTGGGATTTCATACCAGCCATTCTGGTTTGCCCACCAGGTGAGCAGCTCTTGGCTGAGAAGACACAAAACTCTGTGTTTCCATGGATGGGGAGGAAGCAGATGAAGCTCATTTCTGCACAAGCTGGGCTCTGTGGCTCTTGTGCAGCCCCCACTTCAACAACCAGAAGTTCCTGAGCACCCCCCAAAGCCTTCAAAGCAATTAAAAACAAACTCTGGGGAGCTTTGGCACCATGAGAGTGCAAGACACAGAGAAATAATGAGAGCAACTGGAGCCACCTTGCAGCTGGACTTTGTTCATGTCAGCAGTGCCAGCTGATGAGCTGCTGGAGGTTCTGCTCATTAAGGAGCTGCAATTAGGGAGCTGCCCTGTTCCCAGTACAACTGGTGCAAGCACTGCCACTGACTGATAGAGAAGCACTGGGCCTGCAGTGGTTATAAACTGGACTTGAGACTTTGGAGGGAGAGGAGGAAGGTCAAGGCCCTCACCAGCCTCCTTCACCTTGGCTTCCTCAGGGATCTCTGTCTTCTCCTGCCACCTGGAAACCTCATCTCAGGAGCTGCAACCTTTAAGGTCCCTTCCAACCCAACCCAGTCTGCTTCTCCAAGATGATTCTATGAAGATGTAAACGATGCCCAAATAGATCCTGATGAAATGGCTTGTGAACCTAGAGCTGCTCTCTCTGAAGGGCAGATTTTGACCCTTCTCTTTTGCCTGAAATGGTGCCAGAACAGAAAAGCTGCCAGTTAAGGGGAATCCCTGGCAGCACTCAGCACCACCTCCCATCCCATCAGCTTCCTACTCTGCCTACATGCTCCTCCTACATGCCCTGGGATGGGGAAAAATACCCCTCAGGTGACCAGGGAGGGCTGAGAACAGAGAGATCTCCATGTTTCTGAATTATCAGAAGAAGGGGATGCAGTTAAATTTAGGACTTTCTTCTCAGGACTGAGAAACCAAACGCAAATCAGACACTTCACCCCATCCCATGCTGTGCCCACCAGGCAACTCTGCTACTGCTGGGGCTGGGGCTCATTATCCCTCACCCAGACCTGGCCTTCCAAGAGCCAAAGATGAAGGCAACCCTGGTGAAACTGAGCCCTGCACCTCAGGCAGCATCCCTGAGCTGCTCCCTGCAGCCCACAGAGAAGGAGGGATGCTAAGGTGGCCTTCTTGCCACGTGGCAACAGCCCAGGGATGGAGCTGCCAGGCTTGACCTTGGCCTCTCATCCATTCTTGGTGAGCTGCTCTTCAAGATCATTCTCCTCCTGTTTGATCTGCCCTTTGAATGAATCATTGCTGCTCCTGCAAGACAGGAGAGATAAGGCTTGGAGATTTTTAACAGCTTCTGTTCTTCTGACAATCATTTAACCATGTCCCTCTGGAGGTTTTCTTTGTTGTAAAATACCCAAACTAGCCCAGGTCCAGCTCCCTAGTGGCACCTCCAGATCCACAGCCTCTATAACCCCAACTGTCCACACCAACTGAGGAGGAACCCTCCCCCAGCACCTGCTGAGCTCTGGCCTGTTATTGCCCTGCAGAAAGAGCAGCCCTGGATTCACAAGCCATTTCATCAGGATGTATTTGGGCATCATTGACATCTTCACAGAACCATATTGGAGAATGATGGAATGGTTTGGGTTGGAAGGGACCTTCAAGATCACCTAGATCCAACCCCCTGCATGGGCAGGGACACCTCCCACCAGCCCAGGCTGCTCCAAGCCCCATCCAACCTGCCCTTCAACACTGCCAGGGATGG